TACTGCTCAGGTGGGGAAAGTGTGGCACACAGGTGAAGTGACTTACCCACGGCCAAACAGCAAATCTGTGGTAGAGGAAAAGCCTGACTGCCAGTCTCTGGGCTATTCTGCTATAGACTGGCACTGAAAAGAGACGCCATGACACTATTACTGCAATTCGTTAGTAAGTCTTTATTTGCATTCCTTGCGCATTCTTTCCATTTCAGTGGAAATGGGAGATATTAATTTATGTCTGAACTACATGCCTGTCTCCTGGGGCATTGGCGCTGAAGGTCAGCTCCCTCTCTCTAACCTTGAGTTCTGAAGTCACAGGCGGTTCTAGTACTACCAACTGATGCTGCACTAAGAGAACATTAGCTAACAGCATTGTAAGCAGGCAGGGGGTAAAGAAAGACCTAGGAGAAACGTGAAAGAAAATGAAAGGATGAGTGGGAGAGAAGGTGAATCAACAGCACAAGAATCCATTTTTGTCTTCAGTGAGGCCATGTGAGAAACAGTTTTAAAATTTCTACCCCAAATGCCCTACCAGATACTCAGTGCGAAAGCCAGGGGAAATCATCTGTGCCTGCTTCACACAGATGGAGGATTCTTTACACGGCAGAATTGCTGGTTAGAAGCTTTGCTACCCCCATCTCCTCCTGAGTGGGTGGTGATCAAAGGCCATCTACACAACTGAACTCGCCACATGGCAAATGATGTTACAATAATTCAGTTTCCACTAATACAACTAATTCCATATAACCAAGCTCACAAATGAAGATAACGGGTGTAACGCTTCCAAAATCTATTATGGTTAAACCATGGTATGGTTCCATCTAGACAAGTGAAAAGAAACTGTTACAACACATTTCCCGCATGTTCAATGGGACCTAAAAGGTGTTTCAACTTACATCCCCACAGCCTATTCCGGTGCATTTCACTGAGCATTCTATCTTAAAATGCCTCTTAATTAATAAATAAGTCAGCATCAGTCCTAGCCTCAGGTGCTCCATGGCTGGTGGAGATCACAGCCAGAAGTGTGTTTGTGTTACACTAGCACTCATTTCTAGTGCCTGTTACATTCTCACAAGCTGGCAGGTAACTGAAATTTGCAAGATAGCTGCTCTTTGAAGCACGGCACAAGAAGAGCACGCCAAGGTCAGCCAATGTGCATGGGCCTGAGATTCCAAGGAATCGGTTGCCTCAAGACTGGGCTGGTAGGCCAAGCAACTAGGACGCTGAGGCTCCTGCAGTGCTGGCTCAGCACAGATTAAACCACCATACAAAGATTCCCCAAGGGACTCCTTTAAGAGAGGAGTTTTTAAAATCAGGAAGGGGGGGGGGAGAGGGAGGGGAGATTGAGGAATGTGACAGAATAGCTGGGGTCTGTTGACCGTGATAACGGCCCATTAATTTTTACCCCAAGCTCTTCAGCTTCTTTCCCACTGGCAGCCCATCCATATTGCCGCCAGTTATAGATATCCAGAACAGCACTTCACAGGATTTTAATCCTGTCCCCCGGAGCTCTGCAATAGCCCAGGCATGATTATTCAGACTAGCTGTTCAATCACCAACTCCCTGCCTCAGTTGAGAGGCAGCCTGGTCCAATGGACTAAACCCAGAACTAGAAAACAGAAGCTCCTGAGTTGTAATCCCAGCTCCCGGAGCGTCTCCCTGCGTGGTTGTGGGCAAGTCACAAACTCTCTGCACCGGTTTCTCTATCTGTAAAATAGCAGGAATATTTTTACCCACCACCCAGGGCTCTCACAGGTATAAGTCAAAGTTTGCAAAGGGCTTTGAAAATAAAGAGAACTATATACAGCGCTAAGCATTATTGCTATTAGCTATTCCGATCCTGCCCTCACTTCATATTAGGCCCTGTGGGGAAAGCAAGCATGAAAGGTTTGGAGGATAAATCCTTGGTCTGGTTAATCAAACCTGGAACTCCCAAGTCCTGTCATTTTAGATTCCACTGCATTGATTTGTATCAGCCCCACAATTACAGATTTGCCTATCTGTCTGAAGACTGAATTACACAGCCAGAACACCATGAGCTATAGGGGTGGCGCAAGGAGTGAAGAGTAAGCTACTGCCAGTAAGCATGCTCCTCCCAGAAGCAGGGACATGTTCCCTAACAGAGGGGTTCTCAACCTTTTACTTTCTGAGGTGCCCTCCAAACGTGCTATAAAAACTCCACAGCCCACCTGTGCCACAGCAACTATAAAAGCCAGGACCAGAGTTAGGGGGTAGCAAGCAGGGCAATGCCCAGGGCTCCATGCCACAGGGGGCACTGTGAAGCTAAGTTTCTCAGGGCCTCAGGCTTCAGCTCCAGGCAGTGGGACTTTGGCTTTCTGCCCTTGGCCCCAGCAAGTCTAGCACTGGTTCTGCTTGGCGGACGCCCTGAAACCTGCTCGCGGCCTCCCAGGGGGCCCCAGATGCCAGGTTGCTCTAACAGGTACAACCACAGCAATGATCTTAGCAACTCACTCATTTGGAAGACATTGGATTATATGGTTAAACCACTAGTTTAAGGGATGAAATCGGGAACTATGAGCTAAGACCCAGAAACACAGTTATTCTCAACTGGGCTGATCTGACCCAGCATCAAAAGCCTTGGAAATAAGGAAGAGGAAGGGGATGGAAGAGGATGCTAGAATTCCTAACAGGAGTGAGGTAACCTAGGCTGCGGTATATGCTGTCCCCCCAGCACTCCACAGTACACCTCAGTTACCTGCAATGGGTTCTCAGACACCCTTGAAAAGCTGCAAGGCTGGTTCTCCTCCTAAAACATGTACCCCAGACTCCCACAATCCCTTCGATGTGTGAGAAGCGACAGGCTCTGCTACTGACTAAAAACATCCTTAAAACAGCACAAACAGCCCTAACCCACAATGTAGAGTTCTGCAGAAACTGCCCTGTCGCAGCCTCTGCATAGCCACTACAGATCACTCGGACAAATGAAGATGCTCACAAAAGAAGGCAGCCAGCAAACCTACTGGAAATTAGAAATTTCCTAACCCCATTTCCCACCCTCAGCACATCATATTTCCTTACAGGGTATTTCTGCTGCCTGTCCTGGTGCTTTTCACCTGCGAACACCAGTTTCACGTCTTGCACACCAACCACAAAGCATGCCTCGAGACACACTAACAGGACTGAAACCGGGTTGTGTGTGGCTAAAGGCCAGAATAAACAGCAGCCTCCCCTGCCCCGGCTTCTACCAGCACATACAGGTTTCTGATTTCCCCACCCAATAGAGCATCAGAGGGGTAGCTGTGTTTGTTCTTGTGGATACAGACTATGAGGAGTACGGTGACACCTTAAAGACTAACAGATTTATTTGGACATAAGCTTCCATGGGTAAAAAACCCACTTCTTCACATGCAACTGAAGTGGGTATTTTACCCATGGAAGCTTATCCCCAAATAAATCTATTAGCCTTTAAGGTGCCACCGTCTCCTCGTTATTCCACCCAACAGAGGTAAGGAAGACTGTAAATGCAGTGTAGTAACTGAAATCAGTTACTACACGTTACTTAACATATGGAACACGTGCCAGCTGAGAGGGGACTATGGCTACGAAGAGAATAGCAACGGTATTGCTTATTTGTCTGGCACCTTCTTCTAAGGATATTTAAGAGCACTTAAAAAGACTTGCCCAGCTTGTGTCAGAGTTAGGGGTGAAGACAGAAGCCAGGAGTCCCGATTCAATACCTGCTCTAACCACTCTATCTTACAGACAGACACATGGAAGTCTTCTGGGCCTAAAGATTAACACTTATATCCCTAGATTCAAACAAAAAGTTGAGAGGCCCACAGGCAAGTATTAAAAGCTGTTCATGTCTACACAGACACTCCCTTTCCACACCAACTTTGGGGGGGGGGGGGGAGACATTTCTATAATCTCAGGCAGCAATCAGCAGTTTGCCCTGAATTATCAGTCCAGTGCTTGGGGTCTGTTACACCAGAACCAGGGCAGATACAGCCAGCCATGAGATTTCCCAGCACAAGCACCAATCTTTCTTTTAGCTCTCAGAGTCTGATAGGAGCCTGGTATAAGATTCAGCAAGTTACAGAGCACTACAGAAGAGCCTCTAGAGGTGTTAGGTTTTAAATAATTAATAGTAAGAGTCAGGAACAAAATAAAGGAAATGCAGGTCTCCTCCTGCTGCCCCATGACCATCCAAAACAGGAACAGGCAGACGCTTCATCTGCACTCTTGGCTTGAAGACAGAATATAAACAGACATCACAAGTTGGAGAGCGGCCAGTTTGACCTCTACACTGAGAGTCAAAAGCCAGCTTTGAAATCTAGGCATGCAATAGGACCAAGTGTGCTCACATCACATTCTGGAGAATTCAACTGGTATTAATCCTGCTGCAGAAGTTCTGAGAGATTTTCCGTCAGAACCTCAGTACCTCAGACCCGGTTTGGGATACTCATCTCTCCAGGGTATCTAGGTACTTATACGCCCCAACTTTTACAGTACCTCACAATCATTAATATATTTATCTCACAACACACCTGAGAGAGGGGAAGTGCAATTATCCCTATCGTACAGGTGGGGAACTGAGGCACCGAGAAACTAAGTGCCTAGCTCAAGATCTCACAGGCGGTCTGTGGTAGGACAAGGAACTAAACCCAGGTCTCCCAAGTTGCAGGCTAGCGCCCTAACCACTGGACCATCCTTCCTCAATAGGGAGGTTCAGCTGTAAAAGGAAACAGAAGTGACACATCTGAATTTCTTTGTAACAGAATGGTCAACAGTTGCTACTTCTATACCATATTTCATTCACGGATCTCTGAGACCTTTACCAATAAATCTTACAAGACCCCTATGAAGCAAGTTTTATACCCATTTTACAGAGTGGAAAGCATAGAAAGGTTGAGCAATTTCTCCGAGATCACAGGGATACTCATCAGGAAGAGAACACAGGAGTCCCAACTCCTAAGCCCGCAAGTTTGGGCACTGTATACATACCCTCCACCCACACCGCATGCAGAGAAGTGGTGCCAACATACCCAGTTTCATGAGGCATGCCAGCAGTATCCAGAGCGAGATCTCAAACGGTATCCGCACATGGGTGTAGTCAATGCCCAGGACAGGGAAGGCTTTCCGGTACTTGGCGTGCCCAGTGCTGGTGTGGTTGGTTAGAGGGCGAATCTCCTGGGAGACATCCAGAGGGGCTGCAGTGAAGTCCCCAGGTTCACTTCCACTGATAACTGCTGGGTAGTGGTGGGGTGGCTCAGAGGCCAGCATCGGATTAGGCTGCAAGCCATGGCTGTGAAGCAAGGGCAGCAGCCCTAGGAGGGCTGCCACAATGAACAAAAAGGGCAAAGCGCGGAGGGAAGGGGCACCACGGGAGCCTTTCGCCTGCATCTTTCCCTTGCCCTCCAAGAGAGCCCGGCTATTTCAGAGGAAGTCTGCCCCCGAGGGCTTCATGGGGGGTGCAAAGGGGCCGCTGCAGAGGACAAGAAAGCGCGAGGGGAGGGAAGGGGAGGAGGGGACAGAGCCACCAACAGACCGCTCCAGTCTTCCCCTGGAAAGTGGATTTAAAAAAATAAAACAACTCCCGAGACCAGAACCGGGCCGGACGCTGGCCCGGGGAGCGGCAGAGCCTGCAGGCAGGAGAGCCAGAGCCCCGCAGAACCCAGCGCAGTGCGAGACACCCTCCCCCGAGCTGCGGGAGGGCACAGCAGCAGCCCCCGGGGACAGACGGGCCGGCGGAGGGAAGGGGCAGAAGCCGCGGGGGCCGCCCGCTGCAGAGATGACGGGAGCAGCCCGCGCCCCGGAGAAGCCGGTTCCTCTCTGCCGGAGAAGGGCTCGCCCAGGTCCCTCCCTCCGGCGGGGGAAGGCCGGCTGCCTGGCGGCCCGCCCCGGGGCTCCCCGCCGCTGCGGGTAGAGGGGACCGGAGGGTGTTGCAGGGAGTCCCCGCAGCGCAGCCCGGCTCCTCCCGCCTCGGACCCGGAGCTCCCGCCCGCCGGCCGGCTCCCAGCCTTATACCGCCGAGCCCAGGACGCGGGGAGAGGCCGAGGCGCAGCCGCAGCCACAGCAGCACCCGCCGGCCGGGAGCAGCAGTGCACAGGGTCCCGCTGCCGCCGGCCCCAAGGCAGGGAGAGAGGGCGGGCCCGGCCCGGCCCTAGTCCTGCCCACGGGACTCATGGGGCACCCCCAGCATCCAGGGGAGCCGCTCCTCCTGCAAGTGGGCCCAGCCCCCTAAAGTCGCCACAATCCCAGATATAGAAATGCGGCCACCTCTGGGGAGTAGGTATCAGCCCCTTAGCAAAAAGAAAAGGAGCACTTGTGGCACCTTAGAGACTAACCAATTTAGCAGGAGCAGCAATGGAAGAGGTGGGGGAGTTGGTAGCCAAGGGCAGTGGGACAAAATCCAGCTCTTAAGAAAAGTGCCCTGGGATCTTTAATGGAGCAGGAGAAGGAGAGGTGCCATGGTGATGGGCCCCTAAATACAGAGAGAGAGAGAATGACCACACATAAAACATACAGGAATTTAGAGGTGGTCTCATTCAAACAACTTCTGCGCTCAGCAAACTCCCTAGAATTCAAGCTTCAGCCTGTACAGTCTATAAAATAAACACAGCAAGGAAATTCATGCAACAAAGCATACCAAGGAACACTGGACATTGTGAAAGCAAACCAGCAAAGCCAACTAAGAGAAAGTATAGCCTGTTTTAATTTACTTTTTATGCATGTGTACAAGTAGAAAGGAGAGTACTACCAAGGATACAGCCAATGTACCAGACCTAACCAAACCTTAAGACCTACACAGCCTCCTGGGACCAGATTAAAGGTTAAAGGTTACCTTGTTAAAGGTATTTAGGTGCCTAAAGACAAAGATAGGTGCATCATAGGATTTGAAAAAGTACCCCTCATTCCCAGCCCCACCCCAGAGCCCACACCCCCTGCCAGAACCTTCACCCCCCCACACACAACCCAACCCTCTGCCCTAGCCCCTACCTCCAAGCCCCCTCCCACACTCCAAACCCCCCACCACACATCACCTCCACATTGATGCACATAGCAAATTTCATTTTGCACATGGACATAAAAAATTAGAGGGAACACTTGTGGTGGGTATCATAGGCTGGGGGAGGCTGAGCCTCCCCAGACAGCGAGGCACGGCCCAGTCCACATTCCGCCCCTAATCCCCCTCCTGGCCCAACTCTGCTGCTCATCTTCCCCTGTGCTGTGGCCCCCAGATTGGGCTGGGGCTGCGCTGCCCACCTGGCGCTGGGGCGGGGCTGGTGGCCTTAGGCAGAAGGGGTGGGGCTGGGGCTAGCCTACCCAAGCCAACCAGTCACACACCACCCATGCTGACTCCCATTGGAGTTAGACAACTAGGTGCTTTTGTAAACTCCCACTAGGTGTCTATTTGTATCATTAGGCACCTAATACCTTTAAAAAAATGTGGTTCTTGGCTGTTAAGTCCAATCAAAGTGCCACCAGAAAAGCAGACCTGTAAAATAAAACCATGGCAGTAACATGGAAGGCTTTGTAGTGAAGCAGGTGATTTTGGGGAGTCAGCTGACATGAACTCTGTTCCTGGCTCTGCCACCCGTCCCTGGGCACAACACACAGGGCCTGTTCCATTGAAATCAATGGGAATTTTGCATTGTTTTAGTGGCAAAACTATATACCCATTTATCTGCCAAATGTAAAATGGGGAGGATGATATGTCCCTACCTCACAGGGGTGTGATGAGGATAAATTCATGAATGTTTGTGAGGCACTCAGGTACCATGGGGATAACTCGAACTCTCAGCTTGCAACACTCCCACTGAAGCGAACCAGAGTCCCATGCATAGCAGACTCAGGACCTTGGATTTCACTGGAGTGGGTCTTTGTTTTAAATAGGCATTGTCTCCCAGGATGCTGTGCTGCAGTTTAAATAGACAGAAGAGGAGAGTTGAATACTGGACTACAGGAACTGCAGGTTGAGTATCTATCACTGAAGGATACATTGCTCAATAGATCCTTACTCCAGAGTAGGGGAGCTAACGGTCTGGCAGTTACCCAAGAGAACCAACGAAGAATAAACCTGACTAATCTATGACTAGAAAGAAGAGAACATTCAAATGAATCACAAGTCTGAACAGGAACAGCCAAATGTGTTAACGTCTCACTTCTGCTTGGATACATTCTGGACAAGCAAATTCATCAGCAAGGAAGTCCTGGGCTTTACATTTAGCTATAGGAAGAGCTTTGTCACATGCTCCCGAGTAGGGGCCTATTCCTGAACTATTAACCATGATGAAAGTTTTGCCATTGGTTACAGAAGGAGCAGAAACAATCCTCCTCCTACAGAAATCAATGGGAAAACTCCCATTAACTTTAAAAGGAGTTACAATTCCTAGGATCATGCAGGTAAAGAGACACTTGTCCAGGGCACTCACCTGGGCTGGTTCTCTTCTGGAAATAGAAAGATTTGACCTAGTTACTCTGGGCACTATCTCCACAAGGGTGCCAGGCTTTATCTAGATCACTCAGTAATTGTGTAAGTAGGTGCAAATTCCCTAGACTCTGAGAATAGGATGTTTGCCAATTAGGACATGGGCTCCAAATTAATTTTTTGCTATTTTGGTCAGACATTTCACACTAAGCTTGAATGAAAGTAACCGTAGCTGGGCAATATCTCCTGGAGTCTATCCACTATGCTGAAGAATCCCGCTTTCTAAAATAGTTGTAACTTAGTGCGAATTCCAGAGATTTATAATGATGTTCCCTGCTACCCACAATCCCTCTGACAGAGATCATGAGGAACTGGGTTAAGTCTATGTAGAGTTCTATTGCCCATACAACCTCTGATAATCTGAACACCGGGCTACCCCTACAGTGCAGAAACATACTCTTCCATTCATCAAGGCATAGCAACTGTCTCAGTGCAGATTACTAGTTATTCATAAAAAGAAAAGGAGTACTTGTGGCACCTTAGAGACTAACCAATTTATTTGAGCATGAGCTTTCGTGAGCTACAGCTCACTTCATCAGATGTTTACCGTGGAAACTGCAGCAGACTTTATATACACACAGAAATCATGAAACAATACCTCCTCCCACCCCACTGTCCTGCTGGTAATAGCTTATCTAAAGTGATCAACAGGTGGGCCATTTCCAGCACAAATCCAGGTTTTCTCACCCTCCACCCCCCCACACAAATTCACTCTCCTGCTGGTGCTAGCCCATCCAAAGTGACAACTCTTTACATAATCAAGTCGGGCTATTTCCTGCATAGATCAAGGTTTTCTCACATCCCCCCCACCCCCATACACACACAAACTCACTCTCCTGCTGGTAATAGCTCATCTAAACTGACCATACTCCAGGTTTAAATCCAAGTTAAACCAGAACATCTGGGGGGGGGGGGGGGGGGTAGGAAAAAAACAAGAGGAAACAGGCTACCTTGCATAATGACTTAGCCACTCCCAGTCTCTATTTAAGCCTAAATTAATAGTATCCAATTTGCAAATGAATTCCAATTCAGCAGTTTCTCGCTGGAGTCTGGATTTGAAGTTTTTTTGTTTTAAGATAGCGACCTTCATGTCTGTGATTGCGTGACCAGAGAGATTGAAGTGTTCTCCGACTGGTTTATGAATGTTATAATTCTTGACATCTGATTTGTGTCCATTTATTCTTTTACGTAGAGACTGTCCAGTTTGACCAATGTACATGGCAGAGGGGCATTGCTGGCACATGATGGCATATATCACATTGGTGGATGTGCAGGTGAACGAGCCTCTGATAGTGTGGCTGATGTTATTAGGCCCTGTGATGGTGTCCCCTGAATAGATATGTGGGCACAATTGGCAACGGGCTTTGTTGCAAGGATAAGTTCCTGGGTTAGTGGTTCTGTTGTGTGGTATGTGGTTGTTGGTGAGTATTTGCTTCAGGTTGCGGGGCTGTCTGTAGGCAAGGACTGGCCTGTCTCCCAAGACTTGTGAGAGTGTTGGGTCATCCTTTAGGATAGGTTGTAGATCCTTAATAATGCGTTGGAGGGGTTTTAGTTGGGGGCTGAAGGTGACGGCTAGTGGCGTTCTGTTATTTTCTTTGTTAGGCCTGTCCTGTAGTAGGTAACTTCTGGGAACTCTTCTGGCTCTATCAATCTGTTTCTTTACTTCTGCAGGTGGGTATTGTAGTTGTAAGAAAGCTTGACAGAGATCTTGTAGGTGTTTGTCTCTGTCTGAGGGGTTGGAGCAAATGCGGTTGTATCGCAGAGCTTGGCTGTAGACGATGGATCGTGTGGTGTGGTCAGGGTGAAAGCTGGAGGCATGCAGGTAGGAATAGCGGTCAGTAGGTTTCCGGTATAGGGTGGTGTTTATGTGGCCATTGTTTATTAGCACTCTAGTGTCCAGGAAGTGGATCTCTTGTGTGGACTGGACCAGGCTGAGGTTGGTGGTGGGATGGAAATTGTTGAAATCATGGTGGAATTCCTCAAGGGCTTCTTTTCCATGGGTCCAGATGATGAAGATGTCATCAATATAGCGCAAGTAGAGTAGGGGCTTTAGGGGACGAGAGCTGAGGAAGCGTTGTTCTAAATCAGCCATAAAAATGTTGGCATACTGTGGGGCCATGCGGGTACCCATAGCAGTGCCGCTGATCTGAAGGTATACATTGTCCCCAAATGTGAAATAGTTATGGGTAAGGACAAAGTCACAAAGTTCAGCCACCAGGTTAGCCGTGACATTATTGGGGATAGTGTTCTTGACGGCTTGTAGTCCATCTTTGTGTGGAATGTTGGTGTAGAGGGCTTCTACATCCATAGTAGCCAGGATGGTGTTATCAGGAAGATCACCGATGGATTGAAGTTTCCTCAGGAAGTCAGTGGTGTCTCGAAGGTAGCTGGGAGTGCTGGTAGCGTAGGGCCTGAGGAGGGAGTCTACATAGCCAGACAATCCTGCTGTCAGGGTGCCAATGCCTGAGATGATGGGGCGCCCAGGATTTCCAGGTTTATGGATCTTGGGTAGTAGATAGAATATCCCAGGTCGGGGTTCCAGGGGTGTGTCTGTGCGGATTTGATCTTGTGCTTTTTCAGGAAGTTTCTTGAGCAAATGCTGTAGTT